GCAAAAAGGCCCACTTGAGCAGAAGACTAAAATTCTGAGCAACAAGATTCTAGACCGAAAGGCAACCAACCTGTTCTAAACACGCTTAAGTCATTCCAAAACTCAAATTCAAGACGTGTAAGGAAGAAAGAAATAACCGGCAGCATCAAACAACAAGATTCGGATCCCGAATACCATGGCAGTCGGGTAGAGACCCGAGGTCGCTATAGTTTATTACTGTGTGCTTCCGTTTATTACTTCCCTGTGTGCTACAGCTTATTATAAGATTTCTAAAGCCTAGCTATGTGTTCCAGCCACAACCACATCATCACTGTATCTGCCCACCACTGTTCAATCAACACAACCATCAAGTAACTTGATTTCTCCCTTTCTCTATTTGTTTTTGGCGCTCCTTTTTGGAATAGCTCTGTTTCTATAAACAACTTTTTCTGTTGGTTAATAGATTTTCTCAATTTAGATTCATTTGAGTTTCATGTCTTCATTTAGGAATTTTTCTTTTTCCTGTACTTAGAATTTGTTGAATTTCTTGGGGTTTGTTTACAATTCATGGGGCATTGTAGACGTCCCCGAACGTCCCGAGAGGGAAATCCCGCGATTTGTTCATTATGGGCTCACTACAGTTCGGGACTCAAATTCACGGTCCTATATCTAATCTCGCAGAGTGCAATGCAAGACCGATGAATCATCAAAGAGTCCAAATCCGGCAAATCATTTTGAAAAGAGATTTTTAGAAAGAAGTACCAAACATGAACTGCTTTGCCAGATACAGAGTCGCTACCTAAATATTTTATTTTGGGGAATTTAGGAAACCCTGACTCGTTTGCCTAAGGCCACGTGTCCGTCATCACCAAAGTTGCCTCGGCTCGGGAACTTGGGTACGATTGGGGAAGGTCACTTCGTGAGTACCCCCGCTCGCCCGATCAAAGATCGACCTCTACTAATCATGATATCTAGTTTTGAAAACATTATGCGTTCTTATTCCAGTTATTAGCCTAGATTTACTATATGATGCGCACAACAAACAAGTATAGACTGGATCGCCTGAATTGGAACAAAATATTTCATGTTTGTTTTTGAAAGCGGTTTGCTACTCGCAAGTAGGCAAAAAATGCAGATTTTGCCACCCTCGGGTGGGCTTAGAAAAGATGGTTTTGCCACTATCTGGTGGGCTTAAAACTTACAGTCAATGCATTGTTCCAATTCAGATAATCCAACCTTCACCCACAGGCATTCAGGCAGGTATATCACATAAGCAAATAGCCTCATGGTAAGCATGCTATCATGGCAGTCACTCACACGCATGCAAGGATGCTAAAGCATAAAACTTACCGAGTACTCCAAGCCAAAACAAAAGCTATGTTAGAAATCCATGCATGATCCTAACTATACAGAAATGCCTAATGCAACACATGCAAAGATGCAACTATAATAGGCTCGGCTATTCTAAGAATGGCATATGAGATGCTACAGCTAACACATATTCAACTCGGAATTGAAATACAATGCAGTTAGTATGATGCGCCGAGCCCGGTGCATGCAATACAGATGAATGATGCAAACATGCAAGCATAAGTACGCTAATGGAAACATATCATTTCTCAGGCTAAAATAACTAAAAAAGCCAAAAAGCTAAAAAACCAACCTACTTCCTAAACGAACCCTTATTTTGAATCATATCATTTCTCACATGAGATAGTGAAAAAAGTCAAAAAAATTAAAAAGCCAATTTTTAATCATCTTTCCAAAATAACCCTGTATGTAGATCAACGTGGTCACAAAAACAAAAGATTGAATTATGAAAAAATGGTGTTCTGTAGCAAAACTCTTTTAAAAGTAACATATCACTTAACAGAGATGAAAGATTAAAGAAACCGCCTACAGTAAAAAAAGAAAAAATGGCACCAGAAATAATAAGATGCTATCAGCAAGTTAAGAATTCATCAAATATTGAATGAAGTGGTCCAATAGCAATAGTCATTAATTTTTACTACATTTTGTTGGTACTATATAAATTTCACTAACCGGCCCAGCCATATGATTTTACTTCAAATATATCTATCTATTCTATTATTAAAAGCCAACACCAATTTTGGTGTCATGAAGCCACTCCTAAAAAACTTTTCTCATTTTTTCCTAAAATGGCCTTAACTTCTTACACTTACATCAGTTTTAATTAGGGCTAAAATGATAAATTAAAACACCAATTCCACTTCCCACTCTCCACGTCTAAAGCAGTTACAAAAGTTCTGAAACTTCACTATCTTCACTGTACTTTGCATGTTTTTTTAACTTTTGCAGGTAAATTTCCTGACGATGCTTTCCAATTTCTGCATCACACAAAAGGAAGGTAAGCAATGAAAGATATATGTACTTAAAACCGTGCTTCTATTCAATTTTGTACAATGTTTCTGACCCGGCTGCACTGTTATTTGCCCCATTTCTTTCTTTCTCTCTCTCTTTTTTTTTTTTTTTTGCTCTGTCAACAGTGGTTGTATGCTCATATCATTTTCTGCATTTATGGTGATTATCACTATTCCTTATACTTGCATAAGTACCATGCATTGTGTTTTCTTATGAACAAAGTCTTAAGAAAATGTTTGTTATAGTTTGGATCATAAACTCATTTTTTGAGGCAGATTTCTTTTGGGCAATGTGGGCAGTTGTCTCCAAGTGGATCCTGCCATCCATAAGTACTACCTTGAGTTTGTATTATATGATTTCTTCATAAATAGAATGCGATGTATTTATCTACTTGACTTTTTTGGTTAATAGGACAGTTTTCCAAAATTCCTATAGATCATGCATACGATTATTCTGCTTTCAATTTTTTTAGGTCGTTTAGATTCAATTTGGTCTTCTGTAATTGATTCGTAAGTGAATATTAATGGATTTCAGCATGAAACTGAGCTTCTTCAGTTTGTAATGCTTCAAATATATAATTTCTTTTTATATGCTTGAAAAAATCAAATATGTAAAGCACTGTAAGTATTAAATTCAGAATTGAATATCAAACTATAGACAAAATAATAATAATAATATTATTAATTTGAATTATCAACTAAGAAAATATCAGGTGTATTATATAAAAAGATTCTGTATATCACAAATGTCCGTGATTTTTTAGACTTAATTAATAAGCCTTTGTACGCATTGGGTGTAGTCATACTTTCTATACAAAATTTATAGAAAATGAAATGTTTCATTGTGTTATTAGGTTTTAAAAAAAAAAAAATTGACTATTATTTTTTTTGGTTGATATCAACATTTGTGTTTGTGTGTTTACAATTTATGTTTTCAAAAAATTAGGTTGTTTGACTGCTTAATTTTGTGTGTGTGTTTTTCTTAAAAACAATTCAATGTTCATAAAATTTGTTTTATTTCAAAAAAATTTAAAAAAAATAATTGTCTTTTTAAATTTTTTTTTTTGAATTTATTATTTATTTGTTGTATATCAAATCCTTTTTACTACAAGTGTTCCAAGAATATGGGTTCTTATTTTGTTATTTTGTGTGTACCATTATTACTTACACTTTTTATTTTCTTCATTAAAAAGTAAAAGAAAAAAAAGTATGTTAATCGATTTCTTGGAGAAAAAAACGGACTATTATTTTCCTTCGTTTATATTTTTGGTAGGTTGCTTTATAACTTTGTGTTGTTCAGAATAAACTTTTTGGATTATTCTCTGTCGACACCTAATTGTTCTAACTGTAAGTATTCTATATGAACGTTGAGTTGTAAAACAATTCTATTGCTTCAGTTTGTAATGCTTCAAATATATAATTTCTTTTTCTATGCTTGAAAAAATCAAATATGTAATTTTTTTTATTTTTATATATATGCTTGAAAAAAATTAAATATGTAATTTTTTTATTCTATTTTTATTTTTAGTTTTATTTATATTTTTATTTATATGTAATTTTTTTATTTTAATTTATTTATATGAATTTTTGTTGTATAATTTTTTAGTTAAAATTATACAAAGTTTGGCCAAATCTTATGAAATTTTAACACATCCATGGATGGCCAAAATTCAAAGAAAGTTGTAGGTGTCTAAAGTGATAGTTGATTGTTGTATACTTCAAAGCAAAGTGTCTACACTTATCTATTTTGACCGTAAGTATTCTACCTGAGTGTTGGATTTATGCTTGAAACTTGAGAAACCAAAATATGAACACCTAAATCATACATTATTTTGTGTTATATTTTTTTCCCTATAATATTGTTAATTATACTTTCTATAAATAAAAAAAAACAAAAAAAAAATTATAGAAAATGAAATGTTTCGTTATGTTATCAGGTTTTTTTTTTTAAAGTCTTTTTTTTTGTTTTTGTTTTTTTTTGTTTTTTGGATTTTTTAAAAGTTTTTTCTTATTACCCTTCGTTTATATCTAATCTTTTTTATTGTAACTATTATAATAAAAAACCCTTTGTTTATTCATATGTTTATTTTGAAGTGTATTTTTTGGGTAAGAAAGAATTTAGTGGTCCCAAAATTTCATATTATTTTTTTATATTTATTACGTAATGAGTTTGTGATAGTCAAAACAAATAACTTCTACAGTCGTGTTTTATTAGTACTTATTTTTTACTTCTCTTTTGACTGTAAGTATTTTTAATTCTATTTTTTTATATATATATAGTTAATCGAATGTTTGAAAAATTTATATTCAGTTTGTTTTTAAATTATATCTCAAGTTGCACACGCTTTGGCTCATCATTACCAGGTAATCTCTTTCACTTGCAATTTTATTTAATTCTCCACAAAATGAGATTAGTACTTAAATTAATATGCATTATAAAAATATAAAAACAAACATATGAAAACACTTACATAAAAATATAAAGCTTATTATATTGTGAGTATATGAGTCGCGTTGTAGTTAACAATCTCATAATATATTATTACTGCATCTTATATAATTTTATATAATGTAAGCACATTTTAAAGATAGCCAGATTTCATCTACATAAGTGTTAGTTTGCTAACAATCTTAGGAAAAATGAATCACGATTACCCTGACCCATCAAATTTGAGACATGTACAACAACAAAATCATGAACGACGTCGTTTATACCTACAACAGAGGAGGCAACGCTCAACTTCAGCACCAAATGCTCAAACTGAACAACCACAAAGAGAATTCGAACATTTATGCCTTCAAAACTTAAGCACTGAACAACGCTCAGCAAGATTGGAGCAACGTCGTCTTGCTCAGCGCAGGCGAAGATTGTTTATTCGCGAACAAAGTGCGAGCTCTAATGTGCAACAAAGAGAAATTCAAAGGGAAAGTTGGCGTAATTATGCCAGACAAAGGAGGGCTGCTTTGACTACTGAACGGCGCGAACAACAACTAGCAAGGCGACGAACAAATTATCGACAAAGAAGGCAAATATCTGAAAATCTCGAACAAACTTCTCATCCAGATCAAGTACATAATATGACAAATGCACAAACAAGTAGGTGTATTCAAATGTTATAAACATTATTATTTTTGTAAGCTTTTACACTTCTAAATTTGACATTAATATTCAATTAATTTATTATTTATAATTTTAACTGTTAGGATACATGTTAAACTTTTTCGATACAATCCCAAGAAGAAATAGAATAGGATGGCGTAGGCCATGAGCAACAGTTTTGCCAACCATTCACGAAGAATTTGCGACTAATGTTTTTAGACGGGAAAGTAGAATGAGTCTACTCTCACGTATCGACTTACCCTGATATGCACCTACTCATTCGATTTATAAGCATGGAAGCACAAGTGGCAACAGACAAGATGATTCTCGCGAAGTTCAGATGGAAGGTAAAAATAAATTATTTAGTTTAAGTACTTTTACAAAACAAACAACCTTTACAATAAATGTAAAAAAGATGAACATGCACATATGATATGCAGTACAATTACATTTAATATTGAACATGCAACTCAAACACTTTCAAATAAATACTATTATGTTACTAATAAACCAATACATCATACATGTATTGTCATAGGAAATATCCCTCATGTCGACCACAATCAGGATGCTTTGAGTGCTGAAGACATTCTAGATAATCGATCATTTATCCATAGGAAATATCACAATTGCACAAGAAATTTTCATGAAAGTGCAAGGTTCCAAAGAATGCAGTTCCCTACTCCAACTACATGTAAACATTGCAACGCAAGATTGTTCCACCGTGAAACATCTACCATGTGTTGTAATAATGGAACAATTGTTTTGCCACCAGTAACAGCTCCAAATGAGATGATTGATATTTTCTCTGACCAAACAGTGGAGGGTTGTCATTTCAAACAACATATTCGAGCCTACAACCATGTTTTCTCATTCACTTCAATGGGTGTTCATGTTGATGAAAACTTAGCAACAAGAACTCGAGATGTATACACGTTTCGTACACAATGAGCCATATATCATAAGATTGGGAGTCTCTTACCAAATTCTAGTGACAGACCGAGATATTTGCAACTGTATGTTTATGACACTGACCATGAGAATGAGAATCGAATGTCTGAAAATAAAGAATTGCACTTCGATTTGCTTGACAAGATAAGAATATTTTAAATGCTCATAATCCATTTGTACACACGTTTCGCCAATTGGTTCAGCGTCCAAACATATATGAATGTAGACTCAAATCAAAGAGCAACCACGTAATAGGCCCCAATACAACCTTCCTATTTCTCCTGAAGTTGCTACCGTTTTAGTAGGTGGTGAAGAAGCTGGAAATTTAAAACCAAGAGATATCATTGTCCAATCAACCAGTGGTCACCTCCTAAATATTTCTGATATTGTCGGATACTATGATCCATTACAATATCCTCTGTTGTTACCCTATGGTTCATATGGATGGGATGCAAATACCAAAAGTAATGATGGCAGAACAATAACATGTTGTGATTTTTATTCTTATATGCTACAGGTAACGACATTCACATAATATTAAAAAATTACTTCGTCGAAGTTATTTAATCTATAATTATTTCGTATAAAATCTTTACTTTTAATTATTTATAAGTATTCAAATATTGTCAGTTCATATTCGCCCTGGTGATCAATCTCTTTTTCTTCGAGGAGGTCGCCTCTTACAGCAGTGTGTCATAGATAATTACGTGAAGATTGAGTCCAACAAATTAAGATGGATACGTACTCATCAAAATCACATTCGAGCAGATTTTTATCAAGGTCTTCTAGATGCAGTACATGCTGGTGAAAATTATGGAGGTACAAATTGTCACATGCAGTATTACAATTACATGAACGCATGTTTGTTTATACTCATACATATATATATATATATATATATTTCTTTTGTGAAATATTTGTTTAGGTAATGTTGGTCGTTGAACAATATTATCATTGTCATTTGTTGGTAGCCCACGAGACATGTATTAGTGATATCAAGATGCAATGGCTCTGGTTCAAGAGTCTGATATTTTCCTTATAATGACCTATAATCCAAATTGGCCTGAAATTAAAGTTGAGTTACTACCTGGACAGTCACCACATGATCGTCCTGATTTGCTAACAAGAATATTTCATTCGAAATTTGATGAGATTAAGACCGACATTCTTACAAAACATGTACTCGGGAAGGTTCTAGCATATGCATATGTTATTGAGTACCAAAAAAGAGGCTTACCACATGCCCACATGGTCATTATTTTGGATGAAAATGATGAGTTATGCACTCCTGACGATTATGATAACATTGTCAGAGCTGAAATTCCAGACAAGAGATCAGAGCCTAGATTATACAGTGTAGTTCTCAAATACATGATACATGGCCCATGTGGAATGTACAATGAACCGTCCTCGTGTATGACAAATGGCCGGTGCAAAAGACATTTCCCAAAGCCATTTTCTTCCATTACTACACTTGGAAACGATTCATATCCTGTTTATTGAAGAAGAGAAAGGGAGTCAGTTCCTTTAGATAGTAACCCAAGCGTCTTGGCGGATAATAGTTGGGTCATTTCGTACAACCCATGGTTGCTCTTGAAATATGATTGTCATATCAATCTTGAAATTTGCAATAGTGTTACAAGTGTGAAGTATTTATACAAATTTAAATATGTTTATAAAGGGCCTGATCGTGTTGCATTAGAAGTTCGTCAAGGTCCTAATTATGATAAAGTACAACAGTTCATAGATGGAAGATGGGTTTATGCTCCAAAAGCATTGTGGAAAATATTCAAATTCCTAATGACCAAAATGACTCCTACGGTAGAACGCCTCCAAATACACTTACCAAATATGCAGCAAGTAAGATTTTATACGTTCCAAGACATCACCAACGTTTTAGACGATAAGTATTATTCCAGAACAATGCTTACCCAATTCTTTCAATTAAATGTTGATGATGAAACTGCAAATCGGTACTTATATCGAGAGATCCCGCAACATTATAGATGGTGTAATAGTGCAAAGATTTGGCAGTTGAGATTGAACCATCAAAGAGTAATTGGTAGAATTTACACAGTTTCACCATCAGAAGGGGAGAGATTTTACCTGAGAATTTTACTCAATCATATCCGAGGACCAAAATCATTTGATCATTTGTTAATGGTTAATGGAATTACGTACCCAACTTTTAAACAAGCAGCTGAACATCATGGTTTGTTAGAGCATGATGATAGCATACGACAATGTTTGTTAGAAGCTGTAACCATGCACATGCCATCAACTTTAAGGAGATTGTTCGTTACAATTTTGGTTTACTGTGTGCCAACAGGGGTGCGAAGTTTGTGGGATGAAATTTATCCTTACTTGATTGAAGATTACATATCTTCAAACAATATGAATAATATGTATATCCTTAACAAAACCCTGCAAGATATAAACTGTCTTCTGCTACAGCATAATAAGAACATATCAAAATACGATTTGCCTGAGATGACAATGAATTTGGATGATAATCAACAGTTCCAAAGGTCATACAAGATGAGCTTTCCATTGTAACTCCTCGAAAAGACTTAAATTCTATTGCCACATTAAATAGTGATCAACACTTAGCATTTAATTCAATCATGGAGGCTGTGGAATGCAATACTGGTGCAATCTTCTTTGTGGATGGCCCAAAAGGAACTAGAAAGACATATTTATATCATGCACTATTGGCCTCAGTGAGAAGTCAAGGTCGAATTTCCATTGCAACAGCAACTTCTGGAATTGCAGCTACACTTTTACCTAGTGGAAGGACAGCCCATTCAAGATTCAAGATCCCATTAAATCCAAAGGCTTCGTCCGTGTGTTCCATTACTAAACAATCAGATTTGGCAGAACTGATTAGACATGCAACAATCATCATATGGGATGAAGCTACAATGACAAATCGTTATGCTTTTGAACCTTTGAATCGAACACTCATAGACATCACTGGTGTTGATTATCCATTTAGTGGCAAAATTATGGTGTTTGGTGGTGATTTTCGACAAGTACTTCCAATTGTTCCTAAAGGTACAAAAGCTGAAACTATTACTGCATCGATAATCAAATCACCTCTCTGGAGTCACATTCAAATAATTCGTTTAAAGCAAAACATGCGCTCTATAAATGACCAACAGTTTGTTGAATTTCTTTTATTTATTGGAGATAGTGTACAACCTACCATTATAGATAAAATGATCAAAGTACCAACATCGATGGCAATACCATGGAATGGCGAAGAATCAATAGTTCGACTATTAGAAGAAATTTATCCTGATATCAGAAACCATTCTTTTGACGCCGAGTATATGGTTAGTAGGGGCATAATAACTCTTCGTAATGAAGATGTCGACAAGCTCAATGAGAAAATCATTCAGAGATTTCCGGGAGAATCAAGAGTGTACCACTCATTTGATAAGGTTGAAAATGATACCCAAAATTTGTATTAACAAGAGTTTTTAAATTTCATTTCACCAGGAGGAATGCCCCCACATGCATTGCATTTGAAAGTTGGAGCCCCAATTATGCTTTGAGGAATCTTGACTCTTCTTTTGGTTTGTGCAATGGCACAAGGCTACTGTATCGAGCTTTGAACGATAATTTCATAGATTCAGAGATTTTAACAGGACATTTCAAAGACACGAGAGTTTTCCTGCATCGCATTCCATTAAAGGCTCCAGAAAACTTAAAACATCCATTTGAAATGACTCACACACAATTTTCAGTTCGCCTTAGTTTTGCTTTGATGATAAATAAATCACAAGGTCAAACAATTCCACATGTGGGAATTTACCTTCCGAATCATGTATTTAGTCATGGACAGATCAGACAACGAAAGTCTTGGTTAAAAAGAGTTCAGTTAATAATGAAGAATGAGTGTATACCCGCAATGTAGTCTATAAAGACGTTTTGTTACCAAATTATTGATACAGGAGGTATGTACCAATATGTTCTTATTGAGCTTATATTATGTCATTTTTTTAATCTACAATTAATATACTTATAATATATCTTCATATAATTATTGATTGAAGGAATACTTGAAAAAATAAAGCTACTTCAGCTTTAGGAGAATTATCAAGAGGAGTCAAATATGGTTGCAGCTAAGAAAGTTACAAATCAGGTATTGGCTTCACTTATGTTCAAAAAATAATGTTTTCAAAATTTTGGCTATTTAATCTGACAATATTCGCATATATTTTGAGTTTGACTATACCTTTTGAATTGATGTTAGTCAAACAGTTCTCCATATACAGTCTTGGATGGAAGGTCTCTATTAAAGTTGATAAAAAATAATTGGGAAAATTAATTGTGCGAGAGCTTTTAAGGCAACGACAACATCGATATGATAATATGCTTGCGGCATTTTATATGAATAATTTCAATATGTTACATTTGCTAATAGTTGTTGTAATCTTTTTACAGAAATCCTATCATATCTGATAGAGCAAGTATATACAACAAAGACAATATGGACATATATGTGGTATTTGCATCATGTATTATGAAGTTTACTACTATGCTCCATATATTCATATTTGTGAATTTACAAATTAATTTTAGATTTTATAAATTTGTCGAACAATTAACTTACAAGGTGTAGACACCCCATTTTTGACCGACCTTAAGACTCAGACATCACCGATTGAGCGCTCGGTGACGTTGCATATCGTGCTCGTTCAGAAGTCTCAGAGTCGCGGCCGTAAACCCTGCCTCCGGATTTCCGAACCCTCTTCTGTGTCTTGTCTCGGTTTGCGAACTAGACTCGGTTTTCTCTGTTTCTTTTCCCGAGGGGAGGGAGAGGTCCCATAGACCATCTCTCAGTGGCCGTGGGCTACACTTTGTGGCCGCAGGCCATTTTGCCCATTTCGGAGTCCGGTTTCCGGTTTTTCGGGACCGTTGGCCATGTGCCTCGATTCAGGACCGCTTAACCATCTCCATTTGCTCTGATTTTTGGCATACATCTTATTTTCTCCCTTTCAAGGGACACTGGGGTCGTAGAAACCCACTTCGTGGCCGAATGCCACTTTCGGTGCTTAGCAGCCCGTTTTCGGGACCCCGAACTGCGTGTTTTGGCCCCCGAGCATTCGTTTTGCATCGGTTTTTGTTCATTTTTGGCAGGAACCTCTGTTTTATCACCAGGAAGACCGTAGAAGGGTGGGAGGCCAGCAATTGTCTCAACAACCAATTTTTACTTCTCTGACGCCCTCCGATGCCCGTTTTTCACACTTCCGGGCTAATGTTGAACACCTTGGACCCTTTTTCTTGAATTTTGAACCATAGGGTTGTGTTGTACACACATGGGAGGACCCTAAAAGTTTATGGCCGGCCTTTAATTCCATTTGAACCTTTTGAACCCCTCCTAAAAAT